GGGACGTGCGTGGCCTGGCTACGGGATAGCGAAACTTGAGTTCGTCGGCTCCTGTGCAGTCCAGGAGTGTTGACTGGTAGGTTATGTCATGTCCCACAAGACGCTTTTCTTTAATGAAGTTTTTTATCTCCCGATTTCTTTTCTCCAGGAAGCCTACTCCGTAGCCAGGCAGTTTAACATGATACCGCCCGTGTGCGAACAAGCTGAATACCACCTTTTCCAAAGGGAGAAAGTGGAGGTTCAGCTGCCAGAATTATATCATAAAATAGGTAAGACTGAGACTGCTGTGCCTTTCAGCTACTTAATTTACAGAAAGAAATACAGAGCAGGCTGACCTGGGGCTCTAGATGGGAATGACACTCTCTGTGCTCCCCTCTCTGTGGGGACAGACAAGTATCCATCTAATGACCTAAAAGGCAAAACTGGCTTACCGTGCCTCTGATTGAAATAGGTGCTAATTGCCGGGGCTGCTTCTCACGCTTCGAGACTCAAGGCAGCACGGGCGTAGCTGAGAAGCAGGCGTTCTGGTACTTTGCTGCAGCAGGAGCCAGGGCAGGACTGGAGGCTCTCGCAGTAAGGTTTTGGATGTATAAGCTACTTGGTGTCTTCCAGGAAGGTGCTGCTAATTCCCTTAAGGGATGTTCAGTTCACCAATTGAACATCACTGCCAGCGGCAATAGAAAGAAGCAGGAATTGTTTTGCTTTTTTTTTTTAACTGAAAGTCCTATTTTTGATACAACTCTGATTTCTCCTAGTCCCCTAAAATCTCCTTCTCTGGTTTCTCTGCAGGGGTTGGAGCAATGACGTGGTCTCCACTAGCCTGTGGGATCATCTCAGGGAAATACGGCAACGGGGTCCCTGAAAGCTCAAGGGCTGCACTAAAGGTATTTTTTTTGTTGCATGTTCGAGAAAAGTAGCTGTGCTGCCTTTGTGAGGGCAGGAGAATAACAAAGGAAAAACAGATCCCTCATGAGAAGGCTGGCCTGAGTGCTGCTGTATCACAAGATCAGCTCGGTTTCTCTGGCAACCACGCTCCAACGTGCGGGAGAATCTGGGTTATAAAGACGCTTCGGGTTCCCCACGGCAGTGAGCCGACGGCCACGCGCTGGCTGTGGGGCCGCTGGTCGTGGGGCAGCACACGGCAGGAGCCGGGCTCTGTGGAAGGATGCTGTCGCCAACCTCACGTTGCCTGGACAGCATCAAGGAGAAGGCACGAGGCCAGGCTTTCTGCCGTGCTTGATGCTCCCAGCTGATGTTAGCCCACACAGCTGCTGTGACTTCAAAACCTCGTGACCACGTCCAGACTTGGACATTGTGTTTCTGCCCACCCTTCCCTGGGCACCAGCCTACCAGGCAGCGAGTGCGCGGCGGGGAGCTCAGCCCTGCAGCACCCCTCCAGGGACCCCCCCCAGGCAGGGCAGACCCCCAGCGCCCCGTGAAACCTCTGCTGCCTCGGCAGCAGCCCTCTCTAAGAGGTTTAGCGTTGGCGGTGTCACCACCGTGCTTGGTTTCTCCCACGATTACCCTGATTTTATTCTTATTGGGGGTTATGGGGTCTCCTCCCATATTGCGCCTGTGGCAGGCATACGGGTTTGAAAAATGGCAGAGCAGTAAAATGTCATGGATTTGGGAAAAAAACCCTAACCAAAGTGGTATTTGAAGCTCTGCATCGGCTGATGGGTAAAAGCCAAAGCCACCTGCCAAGTGCCAGCAGACTGACGTACGTCCCCGTGCTGGTTTTTGCTCAGCTTGGTGCTTTTTAAAGGGAAGATGCAGTCTACGCTGACTTGCTTACAAAGGGCAACATTTTCAAATGTGGTATTTCATTGCATTTGGGATTTTTTTCCAAAATAAAATGTATTATTAACATTTGGTAAAAGCTAGCTAAGAAGGTAGCATTGCAGAGAGGGAGCCAAATTAAATTGATGAGAGTGAAGCAGAATCAAGTTTCAAGCCTGGAGCTGGGAGAACTGAAATCTCATCTTTGTTTAATTAATTTTCTACTCTTGAACAGTAATAGTAAAGCTTGGATAACATCAGATGGTCTCCTTTTGGGAGGGGGGTGGGATGTCAAAATCTTCTCGAGTTGACTAATATTTCACTTTTTTCCTCCACTCTGTGATGGGATTCAGTGATCCAAAAATAAAACTGAGGAGGTTCCAGACAGAGTCCATCAGTTGCATAAATCCAGAGAGATACAGACATAGGTTCTCCGACAGGAGACATCCCGATCCTGTCGTCATTGCTTTGGGCAGCCGAGCATTGTGCTATTCAGCCTCAGTTACCTCCTGGGTTGGATATGGCTTTTTAAGAGCTGTTCACAATTGCCTTGAGCTTTCCATTGTGGAAGATTGAAGCTAACGGTCGATTGCAATGTAATTCATCTCCAGTGCTACCAGTGGCTGAAAGAGAAAATCGTCAGCGAGGAAGGCAGAAAGCAGCAGGTGAAGCTGAAAGACCTGTCGCCCATCGCCGAGCGCCTCGGGTGCACGCTGCCTCAGCTGGCCGTCGGTAGGTGACGGGACGGGGACGGACACCCCCGCGCCTTCTCCTCCGCTGTTGTCACACAGGCATCGCCTGGCTGTGCAACGCAGACAGAAAGTTTGCGCCTTACGGGTTGTCGAAAGACAAGTGCAAGTGAAACCCTGTACAACCGCGTAAGGCTGCAGCTACTCCGTCGGCGCGCCCATCGTTTGCCGGGGGATCGGCGATGGCTGGGTAAATGGTAACGCAGAAAAAGATGTGTCAGCTTTCAAATAGGACAAAGGATGGCGTTGTTTTTGCGGTATCTATAGACCTATTTTTTATTTGAAATATTTAAATGATCATTTACTATCAGGAGTTACGGAACAAAATGCCAGAAACACAGGAAGACTGAAGATGCACCACCTCATTAGGACGAGGCGAACACATTTCAAGGAACACAGTAACAGAACAAACCCAAACATGCTGTAGGATATTAAAACATCACGTATATGCCAGGTAACCCCTGGTCCGTTAGCATCACAAAAAATAACTTTTTTTTTTTTTAAGCAGTAAAGTTAAAAATTACTTAAAATAAGATTGTTTCCAGCATCATCATCAGGCTCTGACTGACAAGAGGGCTAGTGTATCGTGGGCCATCCGTGCAGGTCCAACCCCTACCTGCCCGTTTCTCTGAACGGTCCCTCCCCGGGTGGAAGCCCTCAGTTGTTTGGTGCACGGGGCTGACGGACACAAGAGAATGCTACTTTTTAAAAAGGAATTTTTTTTTGTTTGGTTTTTAAATAATTATCTTTGTGCTGCTGAAAGCCAAGGCTGAAAAATATCACACATGTCTGTTAGAAAAATGATCCCTGGTTCAAATAGCCAAGAGGTGAGTCCCCGTGAGTCGCAACAGGGAAAAAACAAAGCCCTAATGAAGGCAACTGCTGGGCCAGGGACCAGCGTCAGACGGGATGGTGGAAGATCTGCTAGATGGTTTGTTATCTGACCCCTGCATCTTCTTCCCACTAGTGCCGGAGGAGCGAAGTGCAGGTTTAGGCAAATAACATTGTCATTATTTTTCAAATAGAGATAGAAGCTCTGACAAATGTTAGGATCTGGAGTGATACCTTGTCCTGAAGCCTATGTTCCTGACCACCTTGTGACTTTATTCCCAGCATGGTGTCTGAGAAACGAGGGGGTGAGCTCCGTTCTTCTAGGATCTTCCAACCCGGAGCAGCTGATAGAGAACCTCGGAGCCATACAGGCAAGTGCAGGTGGTGGTGGCATCTCAACAGGGGTGGGGGGTTAGCTACCGCCCAGCTCCCTTTGGGGGTAACACCAGCATACCTTGAGACCAGTGCTCTCTTCCTCTTAATAGAGGGGCTTGTTTTCGCATTTTGTTTTGGGCATCTTCCAGTTCTAGTTAAGCACGTGAATTAACCAAATCTATGGTGCATCACCATAACTTACAACCCTTGTTCTTGTGGGGGGCATCAATCTACCGGACATCTGCTGGAAGTGTAA